AAAAGAGTAACCCTTACGTGGGGTGGGTGGGGGGGGTCTAGGCTAGACTTCTTTAGCCCCACCATAAATATGGCACATCTACTGGCGGGAAATGGCATTCTCCGGTTTAGATTTTAATGCAATTTTCGTTTTTCCCATGTTTTGAAAATGTTCACATATTTTCGGGAGCCCAAGTTGACCCCTTGAATTCAACATTGGCCTACTTTTAATAGTAAAAAATGCAAACGATATCGGGCATCGCACTTGACCAGTTTGGCGAATCTGAGATTGCCGAATTCAAAATTACCGAAACCAGTTTGCCGAATACCAAATATACCGTCCCAAATATGAAAACCATGTTGGCCGAAATCAAGTTTGCCAAATTTCGACCCACTATACTAAAACAGTTGAATGCCCAAATGAGGTGATTTTTTTTTCTACTTTAGTGTAAAAAACTCTAAGCAAATAAATCACGGGAAAAAGTAGGCCTAGTAAAAGGTCAGTGGAACAAAAAAATAATAATGCGATCAACAGAAACTTGTGACAAAGTCGGAGGAATTTACAACTGAATTTACACCATATTATACTGTATTGCTCGTAAAGATATATCGTTATTTGTGTCAACCAATTAAAATTCTAAGGCATTTACAACTGAATAGGTAGAACAGTTGTTTGAATTTGCACCGTATTATACAGTGTTGCCATGGGCGTAGGGTGGGTCCTACATACTACATAGGATCAGTTGCGTAACGAAGGGGCCGAAGACCCCGAGCCAGGTGCTGGAGGCCAGGTGCTGGGGGCCAGGGATCGCAAAGGAGCCCCGATGGGGGTATGGGTGTTTGTAGTGTTTTTGTGATGTATTACGTCTTTTGACACAATTGAGTTCTTAATTTTGTATCGTGACAAAATAAGCGTAATACATTGTAACAAGAGCACTCAAGTAGAGAGCATATCTTCGCCCACCACCAATCTCTTTCTAAAGAAATAATTCCTCAAATATGTTCCTACTTTCCAACCACCATCTAAGAAAAAAAAAGTTTCATTCAGATTACTTGATTAGTTTTTGAGATATCTGATATGGGACGCTTTGCTTAGAATAGTCCATTATATCCACACCAAATCACTTCATTTTTCGAAAGCCTTTTTTATTGTACCAGTTGTACACCTGCCAATTCCTTACATCTTCTGGCTTAACACACTTTTTACTCTTATAGCTGACAAAAAAAAAATACATGTATTGTTGTTAAAATTGAAATACTAAGCAAATTAAAATATAGGGATTTGGTTTTTAGTGTCACATGTTTAAATGTAAAGATGCATTAAAATATTCCCAATCAGTTCCGAAAAAAGTGAAGCTAATATGTATGAAACGCCGTCAACCTTCTGTAATTACACTAATTTAAATATTCATCATATAGACATTGTTTCTGCCTTCGGTAATACAGTAAACGTATTCTTTAAATGGTCCTCATATCCACACCCATACTTCGGATCGTGACCAACATTAAAATATATATTTACTAAAACATGGCAAACTATTCTACCAACTTGCATTTTTATCCATTGATCCATTTTCGATATATTCAGGGACCTAATGGCTCTCAAATGCACACCCGAATTTCGATCGTCACCAACACTTCATAATTTCTTCCTGTCACTTGGTTAAACTTTCATGAAAGTTTCATTCATATCAATTGATTAGTTTTTGAAATATCTGGTCTGGGACGTTTTCCTGGTCCTCATATCCGCACCCTACTCCAGATCGTCACCAAAATTGAATCACCTCGTCATTGGGTCATACCTAACAATCCCTGTAACTGCCATTTAGATCTGTGCAGTTGTTTTTAGATATTTTGAACATAAGAAACACGCAGGACCTTAAAATTGAAATGACCCTCAAGTACACACCCGAATTTGGATCACTACCAACACTTAAAAATATTTTTCCTTGTAACTTGGTTAAACTTTCACGAAAGTTTCATTCATATCAGTTGATTAGTTTTTGAAATATCGTGTCCAGGACGTTTGGTATTAAATCCCTTTAAGTGGTCCTCACATCAACACCCTACTACAGACTATCACCAAAATTTAATCATACGTAACACTCCCTTTGATATTCAATTATGTCTGTGCAGCCGTTTTTGCCCTCAGGCAGTAGACACTGCTATCCTGGTCAATCCGGAAGCGTAAAGTTGACATTGTGAGCGTGAGTTGACATTCACAAAAGTGTGAAGTAAGAATCCGAATGTGTGATATGTGATATGAAGTGATTTTACTACTCTACTACCCGTAAACTCGGTCGTGTGTGCGATGCATTTAAACCAATTCGTCATTATCTATCAGGCGCACAGTTCCGAAAGTTAGAAGTTAAAATTATGTCGAGCAGAAGTGGTTAAACGGGTCTACAGCTGAACTCAGGTCGAGACTGTTTTGCTTGTGGTTTTTCCCGTTGTTTTTTCTACCCTAACTCGGTGGTCTTGGAGTTGCAACAAAAACTATTATTAATAATACTATTTTTTCATTAATCACTTTCGACATCACCGTTTCTATTAAATTTGGCAGTAGACACACGCTCCCGCTGGGAGCCTATTTTTGAGATATGTCGCACACGAAACACCATTTCTGTGAAATATGATATTTCCAACGATCTACCCCTTTTTCCATATTTTCCCCAATTTTTTAAATATTCAAAAATCGAATGTATATCCTGGTTCCGACCCTTTAATGTCACTATTGGATAGGCTTATCTATGTTATTGAGTGTTTTTATCTCGTTGACCAAGTTTATCGTCAAGTTTAAGAATAATAAGTGTTTTCTGATAACGTTTCTAGTGTCTATTGCACATTTTCTCCTGTGTAGATACCAGAATCCGTTTTACCATCGCAATCAACTGCTACAAATAGGTTTTAGAATCATGTATTTTTGCTCATAGATATATCGGTATTTCAATGATTTGTGTCGACCGATTTCACAATCAAATATTTTAACAAGTGCATGGATTTGCAATTGTTTTCCTGTTTGCCGCATAATCTACGTTTTAATCTTTTTATACGCGACTGTTTTCCATTTCGTCATCTTATCATCTTAACTATTCCAGGCGTGAAATACAAAGTGATCGGACGAACTTTGTTGATACCAGGGCATGTAACCATCAGGATTATTACTACTTGTTTTATACCACTTCATGTTGTGATTGGAGCATAAGTAACAGAATATCCAGACCTTGGTAGGTATGTTGTGGTAGTGTTAAAATAGCACGCGATCATAACTTTTATGATATTGGTAATCGAATATACAAGATTTTCAATGCATTTAACAACACAGGAGGGCTATTTGCACAAACAAGTATACGAATCGCATAATTTGGTCATTACTAAGGCAAAATATTAACTTCTAATTTACATCATGGGACACTTACTATTTGTATTGTTATTAATGCTTTACCATCTTTGAGTATCTGCGCATACTTATATAGGGAGCAACTGCCTCGATGGGATAATTGGTATGCGGATTTTGCTTGAAATTCTTCTGGGAATTATATGGATCTTGTGGTTTAATTGACTATACGCCTTGAGCACCATTGGTGGAGATGTGCGCTTTATAAATCTTTATTAATATTATTATTACCAATTCATGTGCCCGAGTGTTGATTTTGTGTTTTGAGTTAAGTAAATAAGGTCATACCTTGTACCTTGTACCTTGTAGCTGTTGCTTCCAAGACATCCACAGGGATTATAACTGGAAGTTCGACGAGAGTGAAGTATTGTTTAAGTTAATTTAAGGTAAATTATTACTTAGTTAGGCCCAGTGCAAGGATTTCATTTTTGAAGCTTAGGCTAATATCGATCACTTTCTGTGGTAGGTTATTCCATCGGTTTACAACTTCAGGGAAGAATGATAGTTGAAAAGGAGTTGAAGTACACCGGACTGTGACAGTGTTAAATTGCTGGTCATGGGTTCGTCTGGGCCTTTTGGTTTTTATGTTTGAAATATATTTCTGGGTTGATATCCATCTCTCCATTAAGTATTTTGTGAAAGGATGTTAGTCGTTGTGCCAGTCCTCTATTTTCTATACTCTTCCAATTTAGGTCTCTGAGTAGTTTTGATACACTAAATCTTGTGTCAAAGTCTCCGAGGACAATCTAGCAGCTCTGCGTTGCATTTTCTGGAGTATATCTTTGTTTTTCTGTGTACTAGGGTTCCATGAAGAGCTGGCATATTTAAGATGTGCCTGGACGATTGTCTTGTACAGGTTCTCTTTCACTGTTTTAGAACAGTGGTAGAAATTTCTCTGTATGAAATGCTGCATATTCTGATTGTTTATTCCAGTTTAAATTGTTTTGGATAAGGATTCCTAGATACTTATTCTCTTTAACTTCTTATAGGTCACTACCCATTAGGTATTAGGATATAGTTGGTCTTCTCAGGTTGTCGTTTCCTCGAGACCCTCATCACTTTGCATTTCGGAATGTTAAATTTCATACCCCACTTTTCAGACCAAGCAACAAGGCTATGTAGGTCGTGTTGGAAGGCAGCTTCATCATCTCTTGAACTAAAGGGCTTGTAGAGTATTATGTCGTCAGCAAAGAGCCTAGAGGTTGATTCGACAGCTTGGACTATGTCGTTCGTTAATTTTAACATACAATTTTACTAAAACATACAGGCCTACATATTGATCAAAAGATACGGCAGAAAATTGCGCAATGCATAAATTGATTACAAGGAATACTAAGAATACCACCATACCACCTGGGACAAGTAAAACAACCGCACAATGTGTTACGCGATTCCAAAAAATTATTTTGCAGGTATAGGAATTCAAATACAAGCCTAATGACACAATCTTCAACAATTTATTTTTAACACTGTTTTTATTTTTTTTTTCGCAATACACTGTTATATTCAAACTAATTTAAAATATCGCATTTGGTAATTATTTAGACATAATAAGCTTCAAAGTTAATTCATGTTGTAGTTAAGGACAGCGCTACCATTATTTGTTTGAGAACGAATTGCGTGTTCTCTTGACAAAATCGATAACAACCTCCACGCTTAAATACGGCACAGGCACAGATTATTATTAGGTTTTTTGGAAGAACTAATAAGATTGAAATAGTTAAATAATTAGGATGTTTATTTGTACAAAAAAATATTATTTAGAATGTTCATTTGTACAAAATTAAAATATCTTAAAATTGGGAAAAATAAAATTTCTTAAAATTGGAAAAAAGTTAGATACCAAGACGCGAGTCCAACTCACAACCTTAAGTTCTTCAGAACACATTCTTACCGACCGCACCATCCATGCGACGTGAGCTATCAGCACTATGTGGTTTGTTTAGTAGGTGTAGGTAGAACCCTGGGGTCCAACGTCCGATGAACATTTGTGGGAAATCACTTCTAGTTTATGTGTACAACATTTCCTGCACGTTCAAAACTGATGCTGGACGCTTTTAAGGCTACGTTCAAACCTGAGAGACGCCAGGCGTATATAACGCCGGGCGTACGATCCATGGCGTAACTAGCGAGATGTCCAGACTATGCGATTAACAAAACATGAAGAAACCGTAGCTTGTCCAGGTACTTTTTTCACACACAGCATAAGCAATGCTTAACGCAATGTTACCATCTGTTTTTTTACCTGTATTATTGCCATTTATTCTCCAATTAATTGATGCAGATACCCCTTTTATATTCAATGATAATAACATGGAAGAATTATTTTGCATTTGCATGGCAATAAAGTGTTTTGTCGAAGCAAATCGTCGTCGACAACTTCGCCGGGAAGAAATATTACGAGAAATAACCTGTCATTTCATGAAAGAACAGGTTGGAGCTGATGTACTTTGTAATGTACATCAGTCATTAGAAAATGAATCAGTAGTTACACGGAGATGGTGGGTTAAACCAGGTGTGAGAAGTACCTGTTGGTGGGATAACCACGTAATGACTAACTGGGATGATGAAGAATGGCTACTGAACTTCAGGTGGGGTTAGAAATGTGGCCTGTACGTCACTATTTAATAGACACCTAAGATATTGTATTAGGCTAAAATATATATTAACTAGTGTCTAAGGCTATGCAATTGTATTTAAAAATATTATAGGCCTAAAATGATAATAGTGAACAAATAACCTGTAGTCTTAGGCCCTAGGCAAATATTGTAAGCATGTTTGTGTCTCTGGTCTTTCCTTTCCAATATTAATTTCAACCAGCTTTTAAAAAATTAATACAAAATGTTATAAGGTACACTGAATTATATTTTTTTTGTATAGGCCTATACAATAATAATTAGCCTGTGTTATTATAATTTGTAAATAATTTATTAATTTCAATAATTTTATAATTTTAATGTATGCAATTCGGCCACAAAGTAGGTTTGGGACCTAGGTATATTGTTGGTAGGCAAATTTAGATCCATAAATCTAAAAAAATAATACAGAATTAAAAATTATCAGATAGACTTAAGTAGTAATATGCTATATTTTATATTTTACTTTTAAAATGGACAAAAGTACTTTTATGTACATCTCGGAACAAATAAGGCCATACATTCAGCGAGAAAATACAAGGATGAGGGAAGCATTCTCCCCAGAGATTCGAATTGGGATCACAATTTATAAGCTTGCTACATGTGCGTCTTTTCGGGAGATTTCCAATCAATTTGGAATGGCAAGATCAACTGCTTGTGAGATTTCATGAAGTGTGCCGTCAAATTGAACTAGTGTTAATGCCAAAGTTCATTCGTGTGCCAGAAGGACAAGAGCTTTTAGTAAGTGATCATTATAATAATAGTTTTAAAAGAAATTCACTTCACATAAATGAATTTTTACAATACCTAAATGGTAAAATAAAAGGCCTATTACTAGTTATATATCTTTACTTTTGTTCTTTGCAGGACAATGTGGAGAAGTTTAAAATGAAGAAGGGTTTTCCATAAGTTGCGGGAGCTATCGATGGTACCCACATTAAGATATTTGCACCACAAAAAGACGCCCAGGATTATTTCAACCGCAAATGGTCTTTTTCCGTAGTACTTCAAGCTCTAGTTGACGCAGACGGCAAATTTATGAACACCTTTGTCGGCATGCCTGGCAGTGTTCATGATGCCAGAGTGTTCAATCTGTCTGCGCTAAGCAAAAAGTTACAAGAACACGCCTTATTTACATCGAATAACGTTGTTGAAATTGAGGGTAGCGCTGTGCCTTTATTGATTTTTAGGGGACGCAGCCTATCCCTTATTGCCAAATCTTATTAGACCGTTCATTGGGAGAGGGTGTCTCAACAGATCAGAGAGAATGTTTAATTACAAACATTCTGCCACAAGAATGACCGTGGAAAAGGCCTTTAGACCCATGGTACAGACATGCTGTACCTTACACAACATTTGTGAAATTAGTAATTCGTTTTACAATCCATCTTGGAATGAAGGGGTTGAACTTGATAGTTCAACAGAAACTGTGTGCAGGCAGCCTCCCACAGAATCCGCCAAAACTATTGGATAATCACTTGTAATGCATCTAAACACTCGTCAATAGGCCTAGCCTAGTATTAGTATCTAGCCTAGTATTAGTAATAAAATAGTTGATATTAGTTGAGTTGCAATCCAAAACGAATGGCAAGTTAATAACGTTTTCCTTTTTCAATATTGATGACAAACTAAAAAAAAAATTGAAGTTGTAAATATCAGTACCTTAATCAATTATTTCCAATTCAGTAATTATATAAAGAAAGTGATGAAATTAATGGGGCCCGAAAGCCGCTTCGTTGTTGTACTGTGTAACTCGTTCCGTTCCGATCTTTTTTCTGACAACCGTTGAAAACGTTTTAACAATCAGCAGTTGGCTGTATAACTTTAGTATCTTCCATTATTTGATGAGGTTTTAAATAAAACTGATTACTTTTGAAATCAATATAACTGAACAAGAGTCAATTTGAATTGTTTGTGTACTGTATTTTTATTTAACACATAAATATTCTCCAAACAATTACGTTAATTTTTTTAAACTACAGAGATTTAAATTATTCATACATTATAATTGATCACTATTATTGAATCGATCTAGCTGTTTACAAAACATAAGCAGTTAAAGCCCCATTCCCGGCAAAATTTCACTAAAAATGACTTTTTAGAAAATATGCATTTGCATTACTCCAATTATTATAAATCATGGAAAAATATTGGCATGAATTTTAGTTTTACGCAAAAGAATAAAAAAAATGAGAAATACAGACTATTTCTCATAAAATATTTCCGAACTTTCGGATTACATTTTGATGATTTTATATACTTAAGTGGCACGAATAGGCTTTCGTACGTATGTTATCAATGGTATGTAAGATATGTTTAACTCAATTGTCTGCATTAGGGCTGTCTCTTATACACATCTTGTCATTACTAGCAACGGAAAATATCATGTCGGCCGTTTTTATGTGTGATAACAGAACCTAAAATCGAGGTAAGGCTAGGCCTAGCCAGCAGCGTTGGATAGGCTAATGTTTTCGGCGCCTACGATATTTCTTCTCACGACCTATCGCAAAATCAACATGGAAAATTCATCCGCATTTATTTTTTGTGTGGAACACAAAAAAATCAAATTTCAGTCTTATTTTACATTTTTTTCATTCTTAGGAATGTCTAAATTCAGTTAAACTAGCAGTTCCGTATTATATTTATAAATCTTTATAACATTATACAAAAATTAGATTTTTCTTAAAACTTGAAATTTTGTCGGGAATGGGGCTTTAAAACTAAAAATGTTATAACTTATTAAGCGCGCGACTGGCACGTGACCAAATACATCGTTTACTGTATGTACTGTACTTCATTTTACATGAGGGAGACAGAATGAGTGGACTACTTTAGCTTTACTACTTAGTCTACTACATTACTAGAATAATTAAGACTTTACTACATATTACTACTGTTGGAATTTCAAGTTAAATATTTATGAAAGGTTTTGGTAAATTAATTACGACACTGGTAGGATTATCTATCTCAACTCATGCATTGAAAACGACTAGTTTCGCATCAATTAAATATTAAAGGTTGGATAGGCAATGGCCTACTACTACTAGGAATACTAGGTAAGTATTAATCATCAATTATTTACAAAAACATGTTGTACAAACTGTACTACATTTAATTACTTTTTAACTATAAAATAACCTTTTTAACAATGTATTATAATTATATAGTTTAGTTACCGTAAAACTGCTAATAAAAAAAAACATCCTCCCTCATCGATTAAAAAAAAAAATACTGTAATGCCAATGGATCTAATAATTTGTTTCTATGTGCCCTTTAACTAGTAATTACAGAAGTGGATTATTATTGTAGATTAACTTATATGGTGGGTTAATATTTTAGAGTAATGTGTTATTATTAGAAGTTTTACGGTTTAGATTTTCATGTTAATCAATTAAACTGATGATTGTTGTAATAATATGTTGCTGGATTAAATTGTTGTGCTTGCATGAATGAAAAGAGACTGGCCATGTTTGCATCTTTTGCACGCCGTTCCTTTAGCCTTTCCTCCCTCATTGCTTGCCTTTTCTCCTGACGGTCTTTATTCACCCTTTCCAGTACTGATGTTAGTGTATTCATCAGAGTTGTCATTTCTTCTCTTTCTTTTTGGTCTTCCTTTCGCATTCTTTCCAACATTGATGACATTCTGCTCCAGTTGGCATCACTGGTTTATTTTATTTTTTTTGCCAAGGCATTAACGGTTCTATCCTTTTTAGATCCCTGAGTGGATGATGGCAGTCTCTTTTTCGTCCTGAAACACAATTGACCAATTTAACATACTCTTTGATCGAAAAAAAAAAATGTTATCCTTAGGTTTTAGAGTGGCTTTAAACTAATTGGCAAGTGAATATGAATTTTTAATGCTGTTTATTTTATTATATTAAAATCAAATTAAATGATCTATATTATAACTTTTTAGGAGTTTAACATTTTTTACAGTTCATTTATATAATGTGCATTATGTCCCCAAGTTCTACATATCCAATATTTATTAATAACTAATATATATTACAGGACAGTTCATTGTTCGCTTTTTGTTAATTACTGGTCCCAATTTACTGTGATAATATGTAGGTCAAACTTAATTTGATTTCACATTGTATCATAATTTTAAAAATACAGTACATATCAAAAAAGTTAATAAAACCTTTAGGTAGAACATTGGCAGATGGTGTATCCGGCATAGGTACATCCGCGGCTTTAGATGTTTGGTCAATCTCAAAGGGTTCATCCGGAATTTCCTGGACTTCCAATATTACATCACTGCCTTCTTCTTCATTATTAACAGCACCTTAACAGAAAGATAACTAATCTAAATAATTCTTCTTTTTTTTTTTTTAATAAACAACACCAGAAATGAACAAAGTAATAAGAATTAATATATTACTATAATGAACAAAACTTACCAGTACTGTAATAGTCCAGTCCGAAATGTAGCAATATCAGAGGTTGCATTTTTTTTTTGCTATATTTTTTAAAAATTGGATATGATGTAGAATAGACATTGATAAATCAAAAAAGTATGTGCAACATTTTTTTTTCATACGTAAGGGGGGTTGCCAGTAGTTTCAAAATGGCCGCCATTTTTTCCTAAAATTGTCACTAATATTGTAAGTTTATGTTATTGAAATGCAGCATTCAATTGGAAATTCACTCATAACAATGACAACAACAGTTAACTAAATATTGTACACATTTTTGAGCTATTACAATTTAAAATGGCTGCCATTTTCAATTATTTTAGCTTTTTAGCATACATATTAATATAATAATAACCGATCTGTACTGTAAAACAAAAACGTGTGATAGAGCTAGTTATACTGTATGCAATTGCCATATGCTGTTAATGGTTATTACCATAATAAATATGTATATATATATATATGTTCCAAAAATACGTCAACTTGACTTTTGTTTTCATTGTCATCACTTTCACCAATATATATATATATACATATATATTATGGTAATAACCATTAACAGCATATGGCAATTGCATACAGTATACCTAGCTCTATGACACGTTTTTGTTTTACAGTACAGATCGGTTATTATTATATTATGTGTGTGTATGTATATATGTATATATATACATATATATGTCAGGTCGGTTATTATTATATTAATATGTATGCTAAAAAGCTAAAATAATGGAAAATGGCAGCCATTTTAAATTTTAATAGCTCAAAAATGTGTACAATATTTAGTTAACTGTTGTTGTCATTGTTATGAGTGAATTTCCAATAGAATGCTTCATTTTAATAACATAAACTTACAATATTAGTGACAATTTTAGGGAAAAATGGAGGCCATTTTGAAACTGCTGGCAACCCCCCTTACGTATGAAAAAAAAAATGTTGCACATACTTTTTTGATTTATTAATGTCTACTCTACATCATATCCAATTTTTAAAAAATATAGGAAAAAAAATGCAACCTCTGATATTGCTACATTTCGGACTGGACTAAGAGTAGGAAATACAATTTCTTGTTGAGGTCCACATTCTTTAAAACATGCAAATGAATATTTGTGTTTACAGCAATAATGTAAATATTAAAATGTTTGTAGATGTCTAGACGCCAATATTGGATATGTTGACATTAACCTTAAATTAATTAATGATTATTGATAACTTTTATAAGAAATTAAAGTGAACTTTTTTCAGCATTGCTCTTAGCCTACAGTATTCGGAAATATCGTTCCAAAAAAGAGAGGGCGCCAACATGTTTGAGCACTCTATGAGTCACAACCCTAACTTCAGATGTTATGTTTTTTCCCGTGATTCGAAATGGTTGGTTATCCCTGACACCAGGAAGGAACTAAACAATAATAATTTCAAAGAATCATTTGAACGCAATTTCGCACCAAGGAGTTATTATGTGTACACAAACTAATAAAAATATACAGTAAGTTCATAAATTTACAAAGAGGAGAAGGATCATTTGAATGTCTTGATGACGCCAGCCCAGTTTGTTTGGTTTTTTTTAATTTGAGGATTAATAATTGACTCAAAAATAATAAAATTAAAAATTACTAAAATAGTACAGTAATATTTTATTTAACAATACCTTTTAGCCACAATCCTTTACAAATACCATACCAATAATAATT